GTATTGGAATTGGGTCCATTAGTGACCACTGTACTTCTAGCCTAGGTAAGATAGGGAGACCTGGTCTCAAAAAACAAAACAAAACAAACAAATACAAAGAAATAGTATCCCCAGTTTTTTCAAAACCTCTGGAATTCCCACCCCTCTCTTGGAATCACCTATCATGAATGTAAGTATCCATCATAGGTCATTAAATGTTGTTTTCTATTAAAATGAAAAGTTATAAAATGGAAAAGGGCTAGGAAGACATTGGAGAGGCCAAATAGTTGTTGAATTGAATTAGTCTCTAATGTGCCCTTCTTGGTAATGTTCTCTTTTTTCTTTCCTTCTGAAGACTGGAAAATAAAGCATATATCATCACGTAATAATGAGAGCAATGACAACATTGTCGTATTTTATATAAAGCTTTTTTTCCTCATTTCAAAGAGCCTTCACATAGTTGTTGCCTTAGTTTTGGAGAAACTTCTCTTCATGGAAGATATTGTGATGCTCACATCAAAGCCTAGAACAGGGGTGGGGAACCTTCAGCCTTCAGGCCACATGTGGCCTTCTAAATCCTGAAGTACAGCCTTTTGATTTTGGATTCAGTCAAAAGGCCATACTTAAGCATTTAAAAGGCCACATGTGGCCTGAAGGCCACAGGTTCCCCACCTCTGGTCTAGAATATTACAGAGCTTTCTAGAGGAGATCTACAACTATTCAAAGGAAATTGGCCTTACCACACAAACACGGGAAAAAAAATAAGTAAAAATGCCTGTTATCTACCCTACAATAGATAACTGATAGAGCTCATCCATCAATATATTAACCTTGGACAGATATTGTGACTTGACAATGAGTTGGCCGTATAATTACACCAGAGAAGGAAAACAAGTTAGATTGCCTATAGACAACTTGGGAGTTCCTTTAACGACCCCAAACAACAAAGATTCCTAATTTTAATGCTAATATTTTATATGTGGCATTGTGTCATATAGTTATTAGTCATGGAACACTTCCGCATCCAAGGAATTAAAATTGTGAATTGTTCAGAGAGCAATACAAAGGCATGTGGTAGGAATGAGGAATCTGCTACATGTGACAAGTAAGGAAGAACCTGGGTAAAGGACATTGTCAGGGACATCCTGATGACAAAGAATGCCTGAGAGAGTGTATCAGAATCTGAGTGTGTAGGACATGATCTCAAATAGATAGCACTGTTTCTTCCCACCCTGCAAGAGACTGAGAGAGCAAGGGACATGTGGATATGTGTATGGAGACCAAGAGTTGGGGCGAGGTCTCTCGGTGGCAATTCCAGGGAAGCAAGGAGCAGAGAAGATGAACTTTGGAAGATGGAATGGAGAGCGTGTCCAGCCTTTGCTGGGGTCAAACATGACTCAGCTTCACAATGTGGGCTGGCGTCTTTGTTCGCTGAAGTAGATCTGTCCTGACCAGAAAATAGGCAAGTCCAATCAGTGGTGAACTTTTCCCTGACTGACAATTCATAGAAATGGTGAATTATATTTCCCTTCCTTTCTGTTAGATAGGACAGATGTCTAAACCAATATTTTTTTTCTGTCCTTCATTGCTTACTTGTTATTTTAATTAATACCTTAAAGCTGGCTTACTCTGTTTACAAAGTTATGATTTTTTCATTGTGACTTTTCATTTGTGTATTTCATTACTTGGGAATCAGGGTGACAAGAGGGATAGTGACTGATACTGGTATGTAGAGTAGGTCAGAGGGCCAGACCCTCTATCTAAAATGCTAAGCTTTTGTCTGATATGGGGGCTCTGAGGAAATGAGAGAGAATATCAATAATTTTGATTTATTAATTTTTGTAAAGTCCCAAAGCAGGTAAAACTCATTCTGGATTTTTTTTCCTGCCTTTAGGCTAAAGTAAATTAGTCACCTTTGCCATCTGAGAGGTGGCTGGATGGTTGGGTCATTTCTTATTTTGCTTGCTTGTTTCCCCTTCCCCCGAGACATGTGCAAAGAAAGCTCTCTGCAGGGTTGGAGTTGAGGGAGGTGATTAGGATGTTGTAACTGCCACAGTAGGAGAAGAAAAGGAGTGAATGTCTGGACTCACTGGTCATATTCACATTCCAAGAGTAAGGGCAAAAAGGGGGAGGGGATACCTTTTCCTTTTTTTTTTTTCATTCACTCTTTCATACAACTCAAAGGTTATACTCACAATGTCAAGAAAAAGTGAGGAAGGCCCCCTAAATATTGGGTGGGCTCCTTTCCTGGAGAACTTTTGGGTAAATGTGGTCAGAGGTCAAACCAGATGGATGAAAGGGCATGGATGAGTTGTAACCTGCATTATTGGAAGAAACATCCACATCTTTGAAGTCACAAATCTATTTGAATACTGCATTACCAGAGCACTGAACATGGAGTTAGAAAGACCTGAATTCAAATCCTGCCTCAGACACTTCTGATCTCCGTGATCCTAGGTAAGTCCTTTAACTTCTTCCAGAGTCAGTTTTCTCATCTGTAACTTGATGATGTTAGCACATACCTCACAGGATTATTATGACATGATACATATAAAGTACTTGTAAGCTTTTAAGTGCTAGATGAATATAAAGTATTACCATCTCTGTGTTAGCAGCTTTAAATGCAGCAGGATACATCAAAAGATATTTAAAACATTTATAGAAGGATGGCATGTATAGTGAGTGTATTACAGAAATCAAGAAACTTGTGATTCTGCTAATGATTTGTTTCCTAACGTATTTATTTTCTCAATACAGCAAATATATTTCAAAATACAGACTATGTCATATAAGTGGTTGTTTTCCTACCTAAAAATTCCAAAAGATTATACGCATTTTTCCCTGCTTAATAACTATTTGTCTATAGCACATATTTGTATACTATGTGAATATAGTTGATAATATTGTTTTCCTTGCAGTATCTCATTTGCTTCTCACAACAATCTTGTGCGGTTGGTGCTATTACCACACCATTCTACAAATGAAGAAACAAATTCAGAGAAGCTGTGATATGTAGGCATATAAGTACTTTGCAATAATATATTGTAAGATTGTAGGTATCTTCTTTTATCTAGCAGATCCAGGAGTTTAAAAATTATTGGACCACCTTAATCTATGATGTTATCATATTGTCTCTGTCCTTTAAGGAGCTTACAATGTATTTGAGGAGGAAAATGATGAAGACAAGTGAGTGTCAAACCCTGTGGCATTAACTTTTAAGAACAGTGAGGTTCTAGAGAAGAGAGGAAGCTAGGGAAGGCTTCATGGAGGATGTTAAGACTTGAGCTGAGATCTAGAAGACTGGATAGATACTGGATGGGGAAGGAGGCAGATCATTTGGGGTATAAGAGGCATAAAGTGGATTGAGGCACCAGGCAGGAATGAGTGTGTTTATTAGAGGAAGAGACACTGGATGAATTGGAAGACTGGGAGATGAGTTGGAACAGAATTTATAATACTGGAGAATAATAGTAGATTATGTTAAGAGGCTGGATAGATGGTATAGGGTCAGATTATAGATGGCATGGAAAGCCAGAGGCTGGTGGATTTCTGGTGGTTCTACTAACTCTCATTTATATTAAGACCTGAAGGTTTTGCAAAGTGATTTAATTATAGTGACCCTGAAGGAGTTATTGCTTGTTTAACCACTTGGGGGAGCTTGTGAGCAAGTTTAGGCACAGGTAATGTCACAACTTGTAGAATATCGCTTTATCAACCCAGCCTTTCAGGTAATCTACTATTTACGCACCATGCCATCACTCCACTTCAACCATCCCTACCCCCCTTTCAGAGGTGAGCTTCTTTAGATTGCAAATTTACTCCTCGACGGCTCGTTCTTTTTTCTATTAATTGTATCCCCAGCACTTAGTACAGTGCCTGGCACAATAAATAGTAGGTGCTTAATAAACATTGATTAGATTGGATTGGATTTCGAAATGCTAGCCCTTTCTTTCTTGTTTGTCTATCTATCTATCTATGCAAAATAAGTAAATTTTTTTAAAATAGCTTAAGGTTTTCTTGGCCAGTAGGTTTTCTCAAAATATTAAAGGTTTAGATGTGAGAATGAACATTGAGAAAAATAACTATATCCTTAAATCCCCAGGTGGCTTTTCCAAACAACTATAGTGGGGTAAAGAAATTGAAGGGGTTAACAGGCTCTCAGGAAATCCATTTTCCCCTCGACTGGAAAAGAAAGGGCAGAGAAAAATAGAGGGTTTCACCAATTCTCCTCCAAGCTCACTCTGAGACAGCAATGTCTAAGCCTGCCACATCTCCTTCGTGTTATTCTCAGCAAACCATTTGGGAGCCCCCTCTGCCCTGATGTCACGTCCTTCAGTCCAGTGTAGCATCTCTTATGCCATTTGGTAGTCTCCCCATCCTCCTGCTTCCCCCCCCCCCACAAGCCTCTTAGTCCTCAAGAGCAGGGTCAAGGTGAATGTCATGGCAGGTGTCTGAGTCTCTAAATCCTTCGAAGTCAAAAGGATGGTTACATACAACCCTAGTAATTTTTTGTGAGACATACAGATTGTTTTAATTTGTCTGCCAAAGAATAAAGCAACTTAATAGAACACAGCTCCAGAACTTAGAGAGGAAAAAGAAAAGAAATGGGCCTGAATTAAGCCCCAGTGATTCTGTTTTAAGGCTCTAACACGAAATAAAATGTCGAGGGAAGGGAAGGAGGAGACAGCCAAGGAATGAGTCAACTAAATTGCACTTCACTTTGGCTATCTGTGATGTGGGATGTATGGCAGGCAAATGCAGGGATGCGTCCTCCAGCAGCTTCTTAGATGACACGTGTACATGGGACAATCTTTATGGGTGTCAGGGTATGTGTGTGCATGTGTACACAAATGCAGATATTTTGTTTTCTTTCTGTATTGTGTTTTGATTCTCTTCACTGTGATCTTTCTTCAAGATAATTTTCCCACAAGGACGGCTTCCTGTCTTTTTCCTCATTACACATTGTAGACTCTAGACTGAGAAGTGATTGGATTTTTTAAAAAACAATATCCAAGAATCACTAATATTTCATCATCATGCTTAATATTTCTAGTCACAATAATAGTTGACTTTTCTGATACATTTTTAACACTCAGAATTTTTCTTAACATTTTGTGTTTAAAATGTTTGAACCTGAAAGGCTTTTTTGGTGAAGCGGCCTCTTATGCGGTCTTCCCTGGGGGAGGGTGTTGAGCTTTTTTAATCTTTTTAGCTTTCTTGGTTTGTTGTTTTTTATTCCCTGTTCTTAGTTTCTTCTTTTTATTTTCCTGAAAATAAAGAGGAAAGGAAATAAAAATGAGTTCTTGTTCTTTTAACTTTTTTTTTTTAACCATACTGAACTGAATTTGGACTCTTGAGTATGCTCTTTCTTCACCTTAAAATTATGGTTTAAAGATCTGTATCAATAATTCTTATCAACTAATTTGGAAATGCGTTAGTGGGAGTCCACATGCCATTAACAAAAGCTTCATTTTTATACCTTACTACACAACCCAATCTGAGTAGTAAATTTGCTCCCACATTGACTTGAGTTGGGTTCTTTGCCTTTCTGGAGTTCATTTTCAACATCTATAAGATGGGGCAGTATTGACAGGCAATGGTTAGTATAGGCAGAGAGTTTGACTACTTGGAAGAGTGTCCTTTCATCCATGAGCAGTTTGATTGCTGAAAGGAGCAGAAAATGAGCTATTGTGTAAAGGATAGGGATTAAACCAAATTCTAGTATTACATAAAGCCCTGCCCCTTTCCTATGTGAACAGTCTGGAGACTGAAACGGGGCAGAAAGAGAATTTTTGCATTTGAAAAACTGATAAAAATCCGTGTGTGAAGAAAAAGTTTTTCTGTTTAAATGGAAGAGCAGATAGCTGGAAGAACCAAACAGAAATCCTAGAGGATCTACAGAAGACAGAGAAATGACTAAGGCTTCCCGGCCTTGTGGTCCTGGAGCTCATTTATATCCTACTTTAATTTTTTTTTTTTTAGTTTAAGATGTTAAAATTCACAAAGTGGCAAATCAAAGAACTGTTTGAAGACTAGGGGTTGATTAGAGAACGACTCTTGGATTTACAACTAACAGAAAGGTAGATTTTGTGAGTTTTAGCTCATGAGGGAAAGACAGGTCATTTAGCAGTGAAGGGCTCTGGTTTGAGCCACTGAGTATGTTTAAGAAGCCAACGGGAGAAGGGCAGAAAAACCAACTAGAAGGAGCTGAGTTGAGGACAGCACAGGAGACAATTAGGGAGGCAGCAGGAGAGTGAGCTGTTAGTGAAGCTAGGTGTTGCAGACTGATTAGAGGTGAAGCCTCTCAGAGGCACTGATTGCTCTCTACCTCCATCTCTGGTTGGATAGGGAGAAACAGAAGGGAAAGGTACATCTGCTTTGCTGTTAGAAGAGACTGAACGAACAGCTGATTGAACAAAGCAGCAACCTGCTGAGAGTAGAAATGGCTGGGCAAGGCTGAGCCGAGGAGCTTTGCAGCTCTCTGCCTCAAGCAAAGTCCTTATCTGTATCATCGTATAATACTACCTCAGAATTCTTTTTAGGGTGATTATGAGTTAAAAGAGCTTTTCTCTGCTTCATTAGTTTGACAGTGGATGAGAAACAGACTTGCCCAGCAGGAGAACAGTGAGGCCCTAAGGGGCAGCAGCTAGCAAAGAAGCAGTTTTATGCAGTACAGATTGTTCCTGAAGGGATCAAAACCACCAAGGCCTGTAGTCCGGAGCTGAGAGTTACATCTGCTAGGTTTCTGTAATTATGTGCCCACTTACCACCATGGATACCATTGGTAAGAGCATAAAATGCAGGCTTAGGGGTTAATTGTAATGAATTGATTATTCCTGTATCTCCTTGTATTACCCAACTGCAATATACTAATTATTATTGACTTCACCTTATCATTAAGTAAATGTTTTATGTTTAAGAGATAATGGTGTCATCACTGTGATCAATTTTGTATAGCTCGGTATCATACCGGTGTGGGCTCGGGAGTTACAGTGGCAAGTAGGAGACATGTATTCTTCCCACAAAAGGGTTATTCCTAGGATCCTGAGAGAGTTTGAGTTGTAGTTGCATGGTGGTGGTCCTTCTGAGAGAACTCAGACTTGCCAGGGTGAAGGCAGGTTAGGGTAAGCGGGCTAACCCAAAGAAAGAGTGAGTGGCATGATAGGAGGCTGCCCCACACACTCACATCCTTCATTGACATCACCAGTTGAGATCCTAAGTTATCATTTCATTGGTCCAGTGAATCTCTCTACCAGTGTCGATCATGAAGAGTTGCCCTGAGTTCTTGAAAGATTAAATGACTTGCCGGGGGTCACCTGGACAGTAGGTGTCAGAAATGGGACTTGATCCCAAGTCTTCCTGATTCTGAGGTCTGTTCTGTAACTGTTACATTGTACTTCCTCTCAGTAACTTTAAATGATACAAATATAAAATATTATCGCTCCTTTTACTGACTTCCTTCTATGGGTATTTTGAAAATATTTACTAATTGTCATCTTTGAACCAAAGTTCACTTCATGTACCCTATGTGCCAGCCAAAATATATTGTTTGGAGAATATGTTGTTTCCCAGTCTTTTCCTCCTGCCTTCTCCTCCCACCTCCTTTGGGCATGCCTGATAATCTTTCCCTTCCTTCAAGACATAGCTCAGGCGTTACTTTCTTTATGTAGTCCGTGATCCTCCCAATTTTGTGATCTTTCTTTTGTTGAATCTCTTATAGATTCACAGAAGTTGATCTCTGGTGTCCCTTCCACCTCCAAATCATAGAATACTATGAAATGCTATGCTTGAGGTACAGAGGACTAGCTCTTCTTGGTGCCAAAGTAAAACCTGTTTCCATTGTACTATCCCTCCGGGCCTTTTAGTCTCTAGAATTATGGGTTTGAGTTGATGATGGTAAGCTAAGTATATTTTTGTCCCAACCTCTATATAAGTGACCCTTGCAAGTATTAATTTTTTAAGAGAAAGAGAGATGAAAGTTAATTTCCCTTGCTACTCACCATTTTCTTCCACATTTTTACCAAAATCTTCATATGTGGGGAATCTGGGTCCAGACATTTTTTCTCCCCATTCTTCATTGTTGCACTGCCAAGAGAAATATCAAAAATATCTACCTGTTCATGGCCCTAAGGGCTCACCATCACCACATACTTTGAGTTCTTGTTTAGGAAGTATTTCTATTCCTACTAGAGTATCTGAGATTCTTAAAAGCCATGATGCTACATTGCCAGAGATGTTAAATGACTTGTTCAATGGTGCCTAAATGGAAACTGAAGAGTCAGTATTCAAACCTAGCTCCTCTTTCCCTAAATCCACTGTTCTTTCCACTGTTCTATGGCATATTTTTTCCTCTCTATGTGCAGAATAATAATAGTGAGTATTTACACAAACTTTATAAATAGTGTTTCATTTTCTCCTCACAACAACCCACTATTTGATAGATGGGGAAAACAGAGGTTAAGTGACTTGCCCACACAACCAAATAAGTATCTAAGGCTGGATTTGAACTCAGGTCTTCCTGATCTCCAGGGCCAGTGCCTCATCTACTATATCACCTAGCTGCTTCTTCCCTTCACCAGGGCCTAAACTCCTTGAACACAGGGGCGGCTTTGTTTTTGTCTTTGCATCTCTAGCACCTAACCCAATGTCTGACATGTAATAGGTACTTCATAAATGCTTGTTGGATTGATTGAATTGCTCTTATGGGGCAAGTTCACTTGCACTCAGTAGAGCATTTCTTAAGCACTTACTATGTTCCAGGCACTGTGCTAAGTTCTGGAATTACAAAGAAAGGCAAAAGATGATCCCTGACCTCAGGGAGCTCACAGTCTAATGGGACAGACAACGGGCAAACACTTGTGTACAAACAAGCTACATGCATATATACTAGCAATAATCAACAGAGAGAAGGTGTAAGAATTAAAGAGGATTTGGAGCCTTAATATTTCACACCAAATAAAGTTATAGATCCTTCCACCTGCATTTCAGATGGTGTTTCACTCACATGATCTCAGTATGTGAACAGGAAGGACCTGGATAAAACTCCTCAAGCTTCTGTATGGCTTTTTTCTGGATCTTGGTTTCACCGACATTGATGCAGGAACAGCGTCCTGTTTTGGAGACCAGGAATGCTGAGAGAGAGAGAGAGAGAGAGAGAGAGAGAGAGAGAGAGAGA